GGACCGGCCGGAGCGCGATCTTGCGCAGTGGCTGGTCGTTCGCGGCTCTGGTGTCTGGGCGGGTGCTTTGGGGAAGACGGGTGTGGGGCTGGGGGCGGAGACGCGGGACTGCGGGCGTGGCCGGGGGCGCGCGCAGCGGGCGCGCGGTCCCGAGTGAAAGGAGAAGGAGGGGCACAGGGGTGACGGTGCGGGAGCCGCTGCCAGCACCGGGGCGAGAGTCGGCGGCCGCGGCCCCGGCACACGGTGGACTAGAGGCCAGGTCAGCTGCCCGGACCCTCCGACGCAGCTCCAGACCCAGCGGCAGCGGTTTCTGGCGAGGTGGGGACGCGCTGCCAAACCCCAGCGAGGGAAGATGTTCAACGTGGAGTCGGTGGAGCGGGTGGAGCTGTGCGAGAGCCTTCTCACTTGGGTATGTGATGACCGGCGGGTCGCGAGAAGACCCCCTCCCCAGGCCGACTTTCCGGGAACCCCACGTTCGTCCCGGGGGGCGAGCGCCGGGGGCGGTGGTGCCGTCACATCCGGGGCCTGGGGCGGGCGGAGCCGGGGGACGCCGGTGCGGGCCGCGTCTACACCGCGTCCGGGCCGAGGTCGGTGGGGATGGCGGGCGGGGTAGGCTCGGCCCTGGGTCCGAGGGAAACTTGCAGGGCTGGAGGCGTTGGCCAGGCTCCGAGTGGAAACCGGCCCGGTGGAGGCTAATGATGGGGTGCAGGCGGCACTGTAATTAGGAGTGTTGTTGTTCGCAGCTGATGGGGCGGGCGCTGCACTCTCGAGCTCGCGGGGACACCGCGGCGTCGGTGCGCCTGGCCCCGCGCCGCCGGTAGAGGCACTCGGGACCCCTGGTTACTACGCCCTTCGCCTTTGTTGTATGTAACGTCCTGGAGGATGGAGCGCAATCCCGAGGAGGAGTCGGGCCCACTGGAAAAGAAAAGAGAAGTACTTTTAAGAAAGGGTAGGAAGAAATAGACTAGGCACCAGAGGCGGGGTATTTACACGCGAGGTGCTCTTTAGTGATTAGAAAGTAAGCGGTGTGGTGGGGGTACTTGTTAAAGGTATTAAGCATACTAAGTCTGGAAGGTATTGGGAATCAGTGATGGAACGAGACATTTGGGGAAAACGTTGTGATTCGAATTTTACATTATTAAACGTTTATTTAAATGCTCACGTTTTAAAGTGTCCAATTCTGATGCCAACAATCGTGCTTTGCCTTTTCAAGAGCCTGACATAAACCCATGCTGGTGTGTCACTCAGACTGTGGTGCGGGTACCTAGTGTGTGTGTCTGTGTGGTGAGAGATCCGCAGAATGGGGACCCCCCTCCCCTCCACTGCACCCCCCCTCCCCTTTTCGGGTGCATTTGGCTTTCCTTTTTATACTCTTACTAAAAATGTTAAATATAATTTCAAGAATAACACTAATATATTTGTGGAGGTGACTACAGCATTAGTATTACTTTTAAGGGTGAAACGTCATAAAAATTCTATTTATCGATGCTTTTGGGGTTACAAGTTCATATCCCTCGAATATAGATGTTTGCTCTCCTGTCTAGGGCTCTTGGGTAGAAAGGTTAGCGAAGCATTGCCTCAGATTGCCTGTAACAAATGTGACGACAATAATCTGGAGAATTTAATAATTTGGCTATGCTACAAATGAAATTATGCCTTCTGAAACAATATATGCTATGGTGGGGCTTGAAATATTCAGTAACTTTTGCATTGGTCCATTCCTGGGATTTCAGATTGTTTTCAAGAATATGTAATTAACACATCCCTTACAACTTTAGTGGGTTCCAAGTTCAGACCAGGGAAATAGATTTCACTGCTTTAGAGTAGGGAAAAATTGATAGCTGCATAATATGGCCACGTTTGGACTAAGCAGGGAGAGAGAAAGCGTCACCTCATTCTTTGATGCTGTGGAAAGAATAGGTTTGGTAGAGGTTGTAAACAGAATATTGAGGATCTTAAAATGTCCTTGTTTTGAGTCTGTACTAGCAGTGCCTGCCACAGTGCAGAGAAAGAGACAAGCGGCAGAGATGAGCAAGCTAATTGAATGTGAAGTAGGGCTACATTGTTTAAAATTTAGAAAGAAAAGTCGCGGAGACAAAGAGGGGTATTTGTAAGGCACCTGCAAAAAGATGGTAGTCCGTACAATTATTTGAGAAATACAATAAAAATGGGAAATATAGGGGAAAGCTTGAAGGATACTAAGAGAAGCATCCAGTAAGAGAGCATTTATTAAAAGCCTGATAAAACGCCAAGAAAACGGGTAATCCCAACTATCAGCTATCGGGAGAGGTCAAGGAATATAGCATTGTAGGAAAGGCTTTGAAATGTCACTGCAAGGCCTATCAAGACAAAGTTTTGGACAAGATAAGATTAGAGATTATCAGTGACAAAACTGGAGAGCAATGTCCATACAAAAGTGTGTACAACTTTAAGGTCTGGAAATATTTAAAAAGCATTGAAATGTTTCAAAATTAAGCTGAGTTTAAGTGCTGGGTTTGTACATCATAAAAGACAGAATTCATATTAAGATGGGAAATGTTTGAGGTAACTGAAAGTGTGCATTTAGCCTCACAGCTTCCTTTATGTGTGGGGACCAGATTATTGTGAAACACAGCTCCAAAGCCAAATGTTAAGGGAGAAATGAACGCCAGAGAAAATAATTTAGTCCATTTTTACATAAAACTCTAGCCACTGTGGTTGAATACTTTCTTTGCACGTAGCAAGTTAGAAGATACTAGGAAACACACACAAATGTCATTGACAGAGAAGACCCTAGGAATGAAAAGTTTACACTGAGTGATTCAGTCTTTTGTTCTGTCAGCTCCTGTATTCAGTTACTGAAGATCATAGTGTGAGCTTGAATATGAAAAGTTTATTTTCATTTCATAGATTTAGTTTGAGACAAGTAGTATATATTTTAAACATTATTTCACTAGAGATGGTTAAACATATAAATTAGATGAATGAATACAGTATTCATTCCTAATACTTCATTGCCTCTAAATGCTGGACACATTGCTATTGTATCAGAGTGTCTAAGCTCAAGAACCAAATGTTCTAAATTTTTTGTTGAAAGAGGGCTACTTCAAAAAGACAAAGTATCTTCCTAACAATGGAAAACATCTTAAATTCCAAATCCAGGTTTATGCATAAAGCAAGTTCAACAGGATGTGCTTGAAAATTTCCACTCTGCCTCCTTTCTCCACCCTCTGAGTCAAAATGTTCTCTTACCTATTAGGAAAATCTGCTCTGCCTGTTTCTCCTCTCAAGGCTTCCTTTCTTGAACTGCATTGAAGATTGTTCTTTCCTGGGTTTTAGAGAATGAAAAATCAGAAAGAACCTGTAATGATACCAGTTGTTGGCAAGAAACTGAAGTGGACAGAGAATTATCACACAGGCTCAGTACATTTCTCCTGAGAAGCCCAACAGCCAGCATATTATAAATTTTACATTACTTATTTGGCAATCTATAAAATGTATATTAATGTATAAAATTAAGGAGAGTATAGTTTTTATGACATCTTCACTGGTCCATTCTACACTCTTACCAACAATTTTTGCCCTCTAAGGGAGGAATAAAGAAAGCAGTGTGCAAAATTCAAAGAACATGTGTACATATGCACACACGTTTCATATTTATATATTTGTTTAAATCAGGTCAGAATAACATGGTAGTTAAGGGTACTGGGTTCAAATCTTGATTTTGTTTCATACTGATTGGTGACTTTAGAGATGTAACTTTATTGTAGTGTTTATATTGCATCCAATTTAACACTAGGAAGTAGCTCTTATGCTTTAGTACTTATCAGTATTTGTCACTAATTGCTAACCCTCTTGTCCAGAGTTCATAATTCTACTCAGTAGCTCTGGAGCTTGAGATTTTGCAAAATTCCAGGTGATGCTATTTGTTAGTGGCCTGGGGAACATTGAGAACCACTGCTTTAGAGCAGGGTTTATTTACTTTAACATAACTGACATTTGAGGTTTGGTAATTCTATGTGAGCACTGCCCTGTGCATTCAAAGATGTTTAATAAAACTACTGTCTAATAGATATCAGTAGTACCTTCATAGTTAGAACCAAAAATGTTTCCTAGGAAACAGAATTGCCCCTCCTTGAGAACTACTTGCTCTAGAGATAGTAAATAATTCCGGGTGATCTCCTATGTCATTCCTTTCATGCTTTTATGGAGGAAGGGAAAGAAGTTGGATAGTGTAATAGAGCTTCTTGGAATTAGAAGAGATTATGACCCTCCATCAGGTAGAATTTCATGCCTTAGTGCAGTTAAAGTGTAGTTATCTTTAAATTTTTCTATACGTCTATACTACGTTAATATCTACAATGTAGTTATTAACACTGGCTTAAGAAAACTAATAATTGATAGGTTTTTTTTAAATAGTAGTCACATCATAGTATCCAATTTTTTAATGTATAATTGGGTGGCTTGTAGTATGATCACATGGGTTGTGCAACCATTACCACTATCTATTCCTAGAACATTTTGTCACCCAAGAGGAAACTCCAGAGATAGATTTTCTTTGGGATCTTCTTTACTTTGACCTCAAAGCAGAAGTGGAGATCCTCCTGCTCTTAGAAGCAACTGTTTACCTCAAGAGGCAATGTATACAAAATAATTTTTGCAAGGCACATTTTAAAAGTAGAAATAGTTTTTTTAGGTCCCAAGAGAAGTAGAGAAACTACTTGTATTCCTTTTAATGACCTTTCTTTGAGTTGTTTCCGCACACTGGCAGAGGCAGTTTCTAATGTTTGATACTTTACATTTAATAATAATTCAGATCAGAGGGTACCAAATGCCAGACCAATGACACACTGTGTAAGAATGATTTGATAAACTTGTTAAAAATAAGATTATCAGCCTCCTCCAATTTACCATATGATTCTGATATATTGTCAGGTTTGGGTACCACTGCTTTAACTTTCTGAACTACCTGATGTGTATTTGTTTTCTCACTCATTCTTAAAGAAATAAACACAACCATAGGTACTTTTCTCAGTTTCTAAATGGAAAAAAAAACAGATTAAATGACATATCAAGGTCACATGGCAAATTAGGAGTAAAGCTGAATTTAAACTTGGTTCATTCCAGTCATGACAACCTTCTCTGAGGACTTACTGGAGATAGTAAAATTCAAAATCAGTCCCTGCAGATGATATTTTTGGTTCCATTTTCTTAAAAGATTTATTTATTTATGCACTCAAGAACTGGGGTGTGAGAGGATTCACCAGAGACAGAGTGGGGAACAGATCTACCAAAATATGCTGCTGAGGGGAGCAGCAGGAAGGACAGGAGAGGTCTGCCGCGCCATGCAGGTCACCACCCTAGCTGAGAATTGAACTTGTGCTGCAGTGGCTGCAGACAGCCTTACAGTGCTATGCTTAACCCATTGCTTCACCAGGGAGGGCCTGGTTCCATTTAATTATTACTAATTATTTATTGAAGTTCCACCATGTATTAGAATAATATCAAAAGGTGGCTTGGAAGGGCCCTGTTCATCACCTCCCCCCAAACAGACACAACCCACCTGCCATGGGATCTTTGTAAATTCCCTTAGTTTACAATAACCATTGCAATCACTGTTTACAGGACTGTCCTGTGTCAAGAATATGAAAATGCTTCTAATGTAGTTGTCAACCCTTTTTTGAAAGATTTTATAGATGATACACTACAGAAAAGTGAACACTTACCCGCCGTTATTATGAGGGACTTTGGCAGTGTTCAAATAAGTACATTTAAGTACAACCTTAAAATGTATGTATACTTTGACCTTTCAATTTTACTTCTAGGAATACAACCCAATAAATTAAAATGTGTATGAAGACAAATGGCTGACTGAATGTTATTTGCAATATTTCTGTTGTCACTACCTAGTTAGGTCTCATTTGTTTTATATATAAACTTATTAAAATAGGTCTCCCTATTTCTTTGCCTTCAATCCTTTCTCTCCCCATCCCCACTCAGTGTGATCTTTATACTTTGCAAGTCTCAAGTCCTCACTCTCCTGTTTAGAATCCCTTGTTTTATTCCCCATTACTCTTTTTTTAATAGATTTATTTATTTATGCATACAGAACTGGGGTACAAGCCAGAGGTGCAGGGGCAGTGAGAGGATTCACCAGGGACAGAGTGGGGAGCAGAACAGGCAGATCGTTGAAGTACACTGCTGAGGGGAGCAGCGGGCGGGTCAGGAGAGGTCTGCCGTGCCATGTAGGTCACCTCCAGGGCAGGCGGGATTGAACTCTTGCAGAAGTGGTTTTTAGCTTCTTAGTGCTATGCTTTAACCCGCTGTGCCACCAGGGAGGGCCTTCCCCATTCCTCTGAAGATGAACTCTTAACATGACTTAGGATATTTCACACAACACCACTTCCTCTTGTTCCATTTCTTCCTCTCTACCTAGTCCATACTAAAATGCTTTTCATTGCTAGATTACATACCACTCTCACTTTAATCTTTAGGCTTGCTATTTATATTTCCTGCAGTACTCTTTTATTTTACTCACCTATAATTTATGTGAGAGCATGACCTGCATCCGTCTATTCTCAATAATGTATTTCCTTCTAAGTCGTGTACTACTAGCTATAATCATTGTTGACTTAGCTATACTATCTAACTTCTGCTGTCAGGAAGCCATTTATTGGCTACATCATGTTGATGAACACCAGGCTCTAATTCAGAGTCCATTTAAAATACACCAGCATGAGTTGAATATCTGGCCTAACTATAGTAACTGAATTTTACATCTGTATAAAGATATTTTGGCTCTGAGTAACA